CGAGACACACTCATATTTATTATCTATACTATTATAATTATAAATGCGAAAGTTTAGATGGATGTTTGTTAGAGTTTGTAGCACGTTTATAGAACGGATCTCGATGAAATTTGCCATAGATGTAGAGAATAATCTTGAAGAACACAGTCACACTACTATTCTATCTATTTTCAAGTTATTTGATTTACGATTGAATAAATAAATTATTAATTAAAATAGAATGTGTTTGAACTTATGCCATTTTGTGACAGCACATCTCTCACGCCCAAAATAATCAGTAAAACAGTATCTATACAATTATATATCTTAATCTGCATTTTAGAGTTGAAAAATAATATTTTTGTAATATGTAATAAATTTGAACATGATTTGAACCATGATCTAGTCATTGGATTGTAAAGTTAGGCAAGGAGCGAGTACTATTAAATTTTACATTTATCAATATTCCCCCTCCATTCTATCCACGCTCATGAACAAATAAATTGAATCTTACTCGGATCGAAGAAGACGATGGCCTTGAGGCAGGCGAACTCCGTGTCGTCGATGTCGATCTCCCGCAGCGGCTTCACGATCTCGTCCATGACGCGCATGCCGATCATACTGATGTCGATGTCCATGCGACCGTCTGCAACACAATTAACACTTCAACTGCCGCACTTAGAATAAATTCTTATAAAAAATCTACATTAAAAGTATGCTTTATACCAATTAATAACTCTTGAGTACATCATAGTCGTAGCAACTTATTAAAGCCATATTTTAGTACACCGATATGGGAAGGAATAGTGTTTGAAATATGATTGCACTGTATACTAAACTGCTTGACAAAATTAGTGGAATTAGAACGTTTTTGTCTATAACATATTCAAAGTATATATATATCTCTCTATAACCTACATGCGACAGAAGACTTTTTAAAGCGGGCGCAAAGCTTTGACTAAACTATCACACAACTGATTTTTTCGCAGCCTTCAAATGGTTAAGTGCACAACTAAAAATCGAGTTGTGTGCACTCCATATACACTCAGAGGAATCAAAACGAGACTAAACAGTTGTGCGATAGTTTAGTCAAAGATGTTCGCGTGCTCTTAATCTGACAGCAACAATGTTAATGACATAAATCAGCACCAATCATCATGATATCGAAGGCGGACAGTTGACGCGACGCGAGGTTGCATAGCGAACTGACGAGCCAAATCTATTAAAGTACCATATTACATATACTAAATATATAGTACGTTTGTGATGATTTGATTTTATTCTGATCTGCCAACGTGATTTGTGGGCGGTTGAGGCACGCCCCGTCCATAGGCACCTCCCCAAACTAAAAGATTGTCAAAAGTTAAGACGATTTTTTAGATTAAATATTTATTATACTTGGTCAAGTTTTATATTCCAAACACGTCATATATTTATAGCCACAAGTGTCGTGGTAACAGATTTGTAGTTACACATTTATTACTTTTTATTTTTGATGTGTACTGGAAGCATACACCTCCGATAATACATGTTACCGACTATTTTAGTATTGCCATAATTCTGTTCAATCGTGCATTAGTATTACTATATAATTTATTGTATAACATAAAATATAAATATGTAGATTATAATTTAAAAGTAATGATATGAAATGACTAATAAAAATGTCATGCTCGCATGTGCTGGGTTAAATATTTAAGTTATTTAAATTGTAACTCGATTTTAATACACTACACAACACATTACAGTACTGGTAACCTAAATTAGATTTTGTACTTGTCATAAAATTAGTTATCTATCATACTTCATACTA